AGCTTTTTGAAGATGTGTTGCAATCAAACTGAACTGATAATTGTCAGTGTCAACTGTAAAATGACTTAATTTAAACATTTGTTCTCTAGCATATCGAGACTATCTCTCCACACCTTTACATATTCCATATGTACGGGGTAGGAGCCCTCTTGGTCGTGGCGTGTGGATATTTCTTTAAGACACTCCAGCACGCCCGGCTACGCCCCATAGCTTATGTATAAAACAGCTGTGCGGACGTGACACCAGTGTGTGTGTGTTTGTGTGTGTAAGTGAGAGAGAGAGAGAGTGTGTGTGTGTGTGTGTGAGTGTGTGTGTGTGTGTGTGTGTGTGTGTGTGTGTGTGAGAGAGAGAGAGAGAGAGTGAGTGAGAGAGAGAGCCTTGAGAGTGGGGTATGCTTCGGCATCCTCCGTGGGCGCTGCCTCTCCCCTGGTAGATTCCCCCTGTGTGCCCTGGTGTTCCCCGCTATTCCCCTGGTATCCCTTAGCTTGGTACCCCCTAGCTAGCCCTTGCTTTCCCTTGGTTGGTCCCCCTTCCCTGGCATATCGCCTCGAAAAAAAAACAGGCTTAAGTGCCGGCCAACGCTTCATTCATTTTGACCATTCATTTTGTGAAAAAGTGAAAAATTAGTATCATTACATTACCATTCAGTTTGGGGGTTACAACAGAAAATTATATATTTATTGCTCACGGGGTATCAGATGGGATTATTTTAACAAACCATTAACATTTTGGCTGATAACTATTTTTATTCTCCTGTAACTTTACTATATAAAGAGCTAAATCCTCCAAAGTTTCAGGAGTAATGCTTCATAATAAAAAGTGTTTGTGAACTAAAAATCAGCAATGTGGGATACTGTTTGTCCGTGATTTACATAGGGGGAACAAATTGTGTCAGGATCAGCCTGATGTTATTTGTATCCCACTATAACTTCGTTGTATAAAGAGCTAACATCTCAAAAATGTCAGGAGTAGTTAGTCATTATAAGAAGTGTTTGTAAACTAAAAATCAACAATGTGGGATACTGTTTGTCCGTGATTTGGACAGTCCAGCGTGTGCTCCCGACGCAGGGGAAACAAATTCTGTTGGTGATATCTAGTTTGGCACGACACCGGCTACCTTCCTGGTTAGCGTGTGGCCCCGCCCCCTTGCTTGGTAGAAGAAGTATGGCAGCCCACCGTCCCAAACATGTCTGTGAATGGCATTTTGCCTTTTTACGGTAGGCACGAGCAGTGTGGCTGTGCCTGGCTGTGTCTGATTTTTCAGCCGGCGAGTGAGTGTTCTCCAGCCTGCCGCACTGTCTCATTTCGAAGTTCACACCTGCTGCTCCCCTGTCTGCAGACAGCGCTTGCGACCGCTTAGCCCTGGGGCAGACCTTTGGGTTAAGTCCCCGCTTAGCCATCAGCGGGCTGGACTGCCAGCCCCCCCGTCTGTGGACGGCTGGGCGGCTCCGTGGTTGAATGGACCCTACAGGTTGCATCCCTGCCTTGGCCCTGCATCTTGCAGCTGTACTGCTGCTGCGGGCTGTGTTCCTCTGGCGTATAGCCCACGGTTCGCCGACTCACACGCCAGTCGGACCTTGCTGTGTCTGATATGTCAGTCGCTGAGTGGGTGTTCTCCAGCACGCAGCGCTGGCTCTCCATCTAGTGGGTTTCCCCTGTATCGTGGGTCACATGGCCAGCAGGTGCCCGCTCAGTGAGTTGACACCTCCCGTCTGTCCGTTAGTGTCTCATCAGGCCCCCTCTGCTGGCCCCCTGTCTATAGACTCTGCAGAGTGGCTGCTATGCACTGGTGATGAACCTTGGGTTGCTCCTCACTTGGGCCCTTAGTGGCCTGAGCCACCAGCACCTCCCCTATCGTGGTTGGTGCAGGTCAGCTGCTCTACTCCTGGGACAGGCCCTGGGCCTCGTCCTCCCTGGGCTAATCCACTGAGTGGCCGAGATGCTTCGACAGGCTCTTTCTCCCTGGCACTGTGTCACTGCCTAGTGCCAGGCAAGTCTCTGTTGTGGCTTGACTTCTCTAGGTGGTGGCTCCGCCTTCCCTTCTGGGGCATCATCCGCATATCGCAGGCTTCTGTCACAGCGATAGCCAGCTGCTGTGCTCGAGTGGCTTGGTAGGCTGTGTTGCCCTGGTGTTTGCCCACGTTCGCCGGCTTCCACGCCAGTCGCACCTCGCTGCGGCGAGTGGCATTCTACAGCCTAGTGTGTTGCCCGCAGTGCGCGGTTCACACGGCCAGCAGGGCTCCTGTCATTGCTCGAGTGGGGCGGCTTCTCGGCTCTGACTGCAGCTTCAGCCTCTGCTGCTGCTGCTGCTGCTGCTGCTGCAGGATGTGTTTCCCTGGCGTTTTGTCCGCGCTTCGCCGGTTTACGCGCCAGCTGGACCTCGCTGTGTCTGATGCTCAGCGAGTGAGTGTTCTCCAGCCCACAGCGCCTGGCTCCCTGCAGGCGGTTCACCCATTGCGTGTTAGCCAGGCCTCGCTGTGTCTGATAAGTCAGCCAGCGAGTGTGTTGTGCCGCTTGGCCCTGGGGCGACCTGTGGGTCGCGTCCCTGGCTTGGAGCTCCTCTCCAGCAGCTGCACTACAGCTGCTTGCTGTGTTCCCCTGGCGTGTAAGCCAGCGAATGCAGCAATAGTCGGGCCTCGCTATGTCTGATACGTCAGCCAGCAAATGTGTGTTCTCCAGCCTCCTTGGCCAGTCTCTGTCTGGCATATAGGCTGCTGCGACTGCAGGCTGTGTTCTCCTGGCATGTTGCCGCATTTGCCGGCTTGCCCGCCGGTCGATCCTCGCTGTGTCTGATGCCTCAGCAAGCGAGTGAGTGTCCCCCAGCCTGCGATGCTGGCTCCCTGTCTGTGCTTTGCCTGTGTGTCACGGACTTACACGGCCAGCACGGGGACGCCCAGTAGCTGGGACTTTGTGTATGATCTCGAGTGTCTCATTGCGAGTTCACTCTTGAGGCTCCTCTGTCTACAGACAAGCACGTGGTGACGGTGCTGGGGGTGGACCTTCGGGTCATCGCCTTGCTCAGCCCTCCACTTATGCCGGCTAGGCTGCCAGCCCCCCCCTCCCTGTCTGTGAACAGCTCGGGGTGGCTTCGGCTTTGAGGATGGACGGGTCACATCCAAAGCTTCACCTGCGGTTGCTGGCTGTGTTCCCCTGGCGTGTTGCCCGCTTCGCTGGCGTACACGCCAGTCGGACCTCGCTGTGGTGAGTGAGAGTTCTCCAGCCTGTAGCGCCGACTCTCTGTCTGGCATTGCCCCCATGTCGTAGGCCTATGCGACCAGCGGGATGCTACTTGGTAGCTCGGTGTGCTGCGTTCCCTGCCGGTCTGCCTCGCGGTTCCCGGGCTGACCTTGAGCGGCCAATCACTTGCGGTCCTGTGTCCTGCATGACTGGTTCAAGCCAGTCTGGCATCTGCAGACTGCTGCCTCCACCCCCTGGCTCGGCCTTAGCATTGCGAAGCCCTGATCAGGGTGATGTCTCTATTGGTGCGTTGTCACTGACTCCCAGCACCTTCACTCTCAGCTGTGCACTGTCTCCTCGCGGGGTGTCTTACTGAGTTACCCCATACATATGGAATATGTAACGGTGTGGAGAGATTGTCTTGATATGCTAGAGAACGTATGGTTACGGTGTAACCTTGGTTCTCTTAGTGAGAGACTATCTCTGCACCGTGAGGCCGCTCGGAGATGCGTTCTGATCATCACCGGTGTCACGTCCACACAGCTGTTTTATACGTAAGCTGTGGGGCGTAGCCGGGCGTGCTGGAGTGTCTTAAAGAAATATCCACACACCACGACCAAGGGGGCTCGTACTCCGTACATATGGAATATGTAACGGTGTGGAGAGATAGTCTCCCACTAAGAGAACCAAGGTTACACTGTAACCGTACGATATATTTTCCTGTGATATCTAACATCCATTAGTGTCATAATCCCTGAGTCTTAAACCCGAGTTTTTCAGTTGTTGGGTTCAAGGTTTGCTTTGGGCTTCGTGAAAGGATTTTATCAAAGTTGTTGTTTATGATTTTATTCTTGTGCTTTTATGTCTCTGATATTTTTGCCTTTACTTCTTTGCTCATAATGTTTCCTTATATTTGTTAGTTCTCTTTCATGACCCCATTCTGTTCCTCCAGTCTTAACTCTGTGGTTGTTTTTGGACACCAAGACACCAAAATCAAACAGATTTTGGTGTCTTGGTTTCTTGTGCTTTTCATTTCATTTCATTTCCTTTGTCTCATTTTCACCGATTTGTTTCCCACCTGTTTTACCTTGTGTAAATATTCTCTCCTCTTGCCCTTTTCCGTGTCATCTCACTTTGCTGTGTGCTCCCCTGCTCTGTGTTTCTTGGTTCCATTATTCCTAGTTTTTAATTTTCATATCTCGCTCTGTGTGTGTTTTTGGACTTCCTTTGTTTGTCATTGTTCAGCAATTGAATTGAGTTCATACTGTTTCCAGAGTTTTGTGTTTGGTTCAGCATCCTGCCTGCCACACAGTTATTCATGACACTGCATTTTTAAATAAAACCTCAAATTAATTCTAACCACATATTAAAGTAAAGCAAGTCATATTAACACATTTTTTATTTTTAAAAATTAGTACACTCATTGTCAGCTGAAAATGCATCCAGTTCAGAGCTACAGGAAGATCAACAGATGACCAGTGAGACCACTATAAGAGGTACATAGCGTCTCTCTCTCTCTCGCTCTCTCTCTCTCTCTCTCTCTCTTAAAGTCTTTTGCCACCTCTTATTTCCAGTCTCTCAGTTTTTCTCTCCTTGGGAGTCGTTTTCATTCCAGCACTTCCACCTAACCATTTTCTTAAGCCTATGACAGAGGATAACACAGTTTGACTGACATAAAATAGTATTTTTGCACCAACAAAGCAATTCTCAAAGAGCTATTAGTCAAAAACCTCATCCGAACATGAGCACACAAACAGTATCTCAAGTTCATGGCTTTAAGAAACAAAAAACAATCCAACAAAGATCTGATACAGGGATAAGAGATGGATCTGGCCCTTCAGCCCCACCTGCCATTCACCAAAGCCTCAACAGAAATGGTCTCAGTGGAATGGAGGCTGTCAAGAGGCTCAGGGTGAAAAGGCTGAGGTATGTCAAATTACACAAGAACTGATAATCAGTCGCAACAAGTTTTGTAGACTGAAGAATCCAAAATTTGTACTTTTGGATTGAAACCTTTGTCTATATGTATAGAGGAGCTCAGCAGAGAGGTACCACAGCCAACTGTGAAACATGATGGAGGTTTTGTTATGATGTGGGGCTTCACTCAAGCCAGTGGGGTTCGGGAGCCAGTCAAAACTGTTTGAAGTATGAATGCAGAAAAGTACTGTCAGATTTTGATCAGGTATACAGGAGCAGCTGATCAGCATCTTTATTTATTTATTTTTTTTAGCTTGGCAACCACACTGCTAATGCAGTAAAAGAATAAAATGGATACAAAAGCACAGAATGGAAAACTAACAGTCAAAGATAGACCTCGAAATTAATTAAATAATGTGAAATCATTATGACAGATAATAGAACAAAAGGCCACTAACATCCAAAGAAGAGCTTTGAATGTCCTTAGTGAAGATTAGAAAACTACTACTGAAGACTACTTTAAGAAATTACAAGAAAGTTTGCCTAAGAGAGCTCAGACTATGTTGGATAATATTGTTTTTTATACGAAGTGTTGAATTTCAAGCTGGAATTGTATAAATGAAGTTTTTGCTTCATATACAGTAATTACATGTATGCTTGCTAACCTTTCAATTAATCTCTTCACTTTTAATAGCAAAATATAAAGAAAATAAAGATGACTGAAGGCGTTTCCACAGTACTGTACATGCCAACAAGTGATGTCGTCTGTTTTTGTTGTTTGTTTGTTTTTTGTTTTCTTGACACAGTTATCCAGACCTGCAATAAATTGAAAATCTGAAATGAAAGCACAGAAGCTGCTTTATTGTTTTCATATCATAACATCAATGTCAAGAATGTCTTTTTATGTGTCCTTTTAGATAATGAAGTGGAAGTGGAGAAACTCTGCAATTTTCAGGCTATTGTACAGCACCTGGATCTAAGTAAAGACAGTATTAAGTACACTGTGAGCCGGCCCATTATAAACAACAGTCATCATACAGATGTTGTGCTTGACATGAAACTCTACGCTATTCTGGATATGGTAAGTTGTTCAAGCTACTTGTGTATGTTTGTGTGTTTTAGTTTGAATAAATGATAATGGACATTTTTGTTACCAAATAGTTTGTTTCTTTCGATAATAAAATAATGTCAAAAGTCTGCTCAATTGGTGCATATTTGTCTGCTTCATATGCATAATTTCAGTTTTCCATGTCATGTATTCTCTCAGTTTGGTATTCTCTTAATTATGGAGATCCATAAGCTTCATCTATGAATACATCAATGTCTGTCTTTTTGTGGCCTTCTATGCTTCTGTTAGTTGTCTAAGACCATTTAAGACTTCCCAGATGTTGGGTTTTTCTTGTCTATTGGAGGCTGCATACTGTTGATCTTACCCAGGTCTTTCTAGGATTACTGTGGCACAAGTCAGGCTCAACCATTTGAGCTTGAACACTGCTTGATTTCTTTGTTCACAGAGAGAAATTGACCAGACCTTAATTTCTTACATTTGGGTTTATTTGGTGAGTTTTCTCTTTCAAATACATCAATTTTCACAGTATTGTTGAAATTGAAATTGCTTGAAATTACGTGTTTTCATCTTTTGTCTTTTTCTCCTTGTTTGTATCTCTTTCCTCTTATTTGTATCCCTCTGACTAGTCATGGAAAAACGAGTACACTAAGTGGGATCCAGATCAATTCTGTGGAATTAAACAAATAACAATTCCTACTGAATATTTGTGGATGCCAGATATAACTATTTCAGAGATGTAAGTTTAACATATATGCACATAAACTCACACAGACCATACAGTCACTAGCAATAAGGCATTAAGCTACAGCTAAAAAAAAACAAACCCAAAGCTGAACATTTATAATTCATTATTAGAAACGTATATGCTGCTCTTCAAAATCTTAACATCATTAATTTTTTTTATCCTTGAAGATATTGTATAATTCATTAAATATGTTGCAAATTGAGCAGCAAGCCCTTCAAGTCCATGTGGTCATGTTGAGCCCTCCAAGACATTAATAAAGACTATATCTATGTTGACCATCCCATTAAAAAAGAATAGCAACTAAATGCTGTCCTGGATAATTGTTTTGTCATGGCGCAATCAGCTCAAACCAAGCAGGATTCATGAGGTACATGAGGTGGCTTTGAAACATGAAATGATAACCTTCCTTTTCCAAGATCCATTTTGTCCAGCACATATCTATATGGATGCACCTGAATATTCAGTTATTTGGATATCCCTCTGTCATTTAGATAATCTCGCAGTGATATTCCTGCACTTGTTCATCCTTGTGTTGCTAAAGTTTTAGTGTTTTAGTTTTAGTTTTAGTGCTAAATCCTTTGCAACCCCCCCCCCCCCCCCCCCCCAAAAAAAAAAAAAACAACAAACAAACCTATGGACAGATTGCTTGCCCACTGCTCTATTTCTTTTTACACACCTAAAACAACACATCCAAAAGACATTGTGTTAGATCTGCCTTTTCCTACAGACCAGTGGCTACTTTTTCAATGATGAAGAGTTACACATCCTGCACAGAGAGGAATGCAAGTTAGAGTAGCTCCTTTACATGAAAAAAGAAAGACCATGTCTGAATCAAGGAAGAGGCCTATGGGTACATCTTTCACCATCTTAAAGCTATTTCCCAACTTTCTCTGAATGGTACTCATGGCTTATCCAGTAACTACAGATTAAATCCTTAGTTTTTCTTATACTACGAAAATGGGTCAGTTCTTAATGGGGTACATTCTCCATAGTAACAGATGCTGTATTCTCCAGAGCAGAGATGAAAAGGTATGATTTGCTCTTGAGGGCAACAAAGGGCAAAACTTCTGTGGTCCATGTGTGGGTATTACCAGTTGGACTCTGTGTGGAACAGCCCTAGGGTTCATTTTTGTCCCACGCAGGCATGTTTGTGTGGGTCATTCGTATTGATCCTGGTGGTCTGAGCTTGATGAGGTGTGGATAAAGGCGTGTCTGAGGACAATTGGGAGGGAAGAGATCATTGGTTACCAAACTTTGTCAGAATTTCTAGTCCATCATTTCTAGCTGAAATTATTAAGTAATTTAACACAAACTCTTGTGTAAGTCGCCACTTGATGTTGCAGGTTTTATCTGGATTCTAACATAAGTAATTAAGACATGGTGGCTTAATGCATTAATCCTCCTCAGCTGGAGAGTAAGATTTGAGTAGGATTCTGTCTACCTATTTGTCATAACTGATGCTGCTTTTTTGAGTGGCTATAACTGATTGTAATTTTCTGTCTTACAGGACAGAGAGAGACAAAGCCTCTCCGAGTCCTTATCTCTCCATTGAAAGCGGTGGTTTGGTTGAATACAGAAATGACCAGGTGATCGTAAGCACCTGCAAGCTGCACGTGTACAAATTCCCTTTTGATGTTCAGAGGTGTAACCTCTCCTTTAAGTCTATCATGCACTCTGGTGAGCCCATAGCATATATGCGTGCCGTTCATGAAGTTATAAACCCAAACCATCAGATACAAAAATATATATTTCTTTCTTGCTGATCTTTTATTTTTATGTTTCACTTCAGATGAAGAAATAAAGTTACAATTCAACGAAACCAATAATACGGTCACAGAATGGTCTCGAAATGTGATGCAGACACAATACGAGTGGCTGTTTATCAACATGTCAGTTACCACCAAAACTGTCAATGAATTTGACTTCAACCAACTTATGATTGTTTACACTGTGAGTATTTCTGGGAGCAGCTGCACAGAAATGGGGAAAAAAGCATTAATCAATTTCGCTGCTTTTTCATTACTTTCCTTTTTGTGACCATAATACATGTCCAATATAGAGTAGGAGTAGGATGATTAACCACCTCACATGCAAATTGACAGATTACCATGAAGAGGAGGTCTGTCCTCTACATTGCCAATTTCTTGCTGCCAGTCTTCTTCTTCTTGGTTCTGGACTTAGCCTCCTTCCTGATATTAGACAGTGGAGGTGAGAAGCTCGGCTTCAAGATCACTGTCCTGCTCGCTGTCACAGTGATGCAGCTTCTTCTCAATGAGATTCTGCCCAGCTCTTCAGACAGTATTCCACTTATAGGTAAAGAAGAGCATATTTGACTTCATGCAGTGAATTAATCAAGCTATCAAGTCATTAAGTGATTTGTCCACTTTCATGCTGGATGCCCTCCTTAGCTGTCTATTGCATTGGGGTTTTTGCTCTGATGCTGCTCAGCCTCCTGGAGACAATTTTGGTGATGCATCTGATTGAGAAAGACTCGCCAGCCCAGGATAATGAGACAGATGGAAACCAAAGCCTGGTGGAGTGCTGTGAGGAGAAACAGGACATATCCAACTTTCACAGCTGTTTTAGAGGTGTGCTTAATTGTAGCAGTCGTTGTCTGTCACCTATCTATGTAATTCTAGCTGTGTTGCATTGTTCTTCCCGTCTATTTTTTTTATTCCAGACATGAAGAGATGTAGTCATTGTGCATCTGTTCATGATGTATCTGTGGATGAAAGACCAACTGTGTCTACATCAATCAACAGTCTGCCACCACTGACTATAAAGGTTGGAGTTAAATTGGACTTTTAAGTGTTTTTCAAGTGAAATATAAAAACTGATGAAAGACATCATGTTGCATGAGAGAGAGATTATCCCAAACCCTAACATGGGTGTTGAAAGTAAACACTTTCACTAAATCAATGTGAAAACAAATCAGTGTGTGAAATGTAGCAGCAACTAGACTATAAATGGCTGTATATGTAATGTTATTGATTACATTTCAACAAAACTATTTTTTCAGGGTTGTAGCTGCAACCTGATGAAGATGTTCTTTCCACTGGAAAAAGTCTCGGGTGACCTGCGGGAGACTAGGAAAACCGTGACTCTGCACAGTACCAACAAGAAGTCCGGCTACTGGACCAATATAGTAAAACATATCAACAGGGTTTTTGTCATTTTTTATTTGACAACAGTGACTGTGTTTTTGGCAATTATGATTTTATTGTGGAACAGTGCTGAAGATGAGTAGGCCGAAAGTTACTTTACTTTAAATCATTAGCATGAGGATTAACTTTACTTAACTAAAAGTTTCTGTTCCTTTATTAAGTCCAAGTCTAAAGTATGCATTTAGACTAGGGGTCGGTTTTGATTATCGATTTATCGATTAAAATCGATTCTAGCTTGGATAACGTGATATCATTCATTAAAATCCTGAATCGATTTTTTAATATAAATATATTTTATTCTCATGTTAAACCTCACAAAATTTCAACAACCACCAAACAGCTAAAACAGTAAATGAGAGCAGGTACACGGATTCTGCACAAAGACGTAAAACAAAGCGCGGACCGTGGATCAGAATCAGTGAGATGTCGCCTTTCTCACCCGACAGCACGGACACGGTCGGGGCTGAAAGCCGACAGCTCGCTGATTCTGATGTTTCGACCGGTCTGCGCTCTGTGTTTAGCACTAGATTCTAAAGCTGTTAGTTTTATCTCTCTCCAAACAATATTGACCGAACCAGCAGCAAAAGAAGACCCAAACTAGGCTTCACATAAACATCGTCATGAACTCCCTCTTACTTTTGCTGTTTTGCTTCCACCAGGATAAAATCACACTTCATGCACAGCGCTCTCTCTCTCTCTCTCTCTTTGTACTTCAAGAACAGTTTCCCGTCTAAAAATCTGTTTTCTGCATTATTCGCTTGCTTGTTATGCACTAGTCTACCGTTGTTTACAGCGCTGTCCGCCGCTGTTTTTTTCCTTTTACTTTCTTCTGAAAAGAAAGCCTAATTTCTCCTGTTCAATAGGCTACTGAACAAATTTAATCTTTTTAAATTTATGCAAAATTGCAAAATGCTTAGCTGTGTCCCTGACGCTGCTTCACTTCAGCAGCATCAGGTAATGTTCATATGTTGATTAACGTTTTTCTTTGGTTTTTGATCTACGGCAGAATATTTTTATAAAATCCGAGGCCTGGAAAATCGCCTTCATGTTTTTCTGTGTTTTATCCTCATCTACTTTGACACAAAGGCTTCTGCTGTGATGCTCACACCTTTGATAAAGTCTTGAAAGTGTCAGCTTTCTTATTATAGATGTAAAAATATGGAGATGTACCGATGCATGATCTGAATTATAATATTTCTGACTGTCTGAGGCAATCTCAAATCTAAACGAATCAAATTGAATCAAATCGTGGATCGAATTGATTCGATTCGGACCTTGTGAATCGGAATTGAATCGATTCTAGAAATTAGTGACGATACCCAGCCCTAATTTAGACCCCTTTTCCTACACTTTATAACATTTGTACTGTGTGATGGACCTCATATTTCGGTCCACTTTGAACTCACATTTATTCACTGTAACTTTAGTTCACATCACATTATATGCATGGCAATATAAAGCAATGCAGTTCATGAGTGTTGTATATCTTTCATTTACATCTGTATCCTGTTGGAATAAACATTAAAAAGCTTTTTATTTTTTTCTTATGTATATCTTTGTGTGTTTGTGTGTTTGTTGCACAACCAACTGACTCTTTGAATTATAAAGTGCACTCCATGTAAAGGTAATGATCATGGAAGTTTGTTTCCCATTTCCGCTCAGCATTTCTATAACTTCTTCTATGATTATATTGGAATCACAAATATAAGTTGAAGAATTTGCAGATGGGACTAGTCTAGGGTCAAACCCTAGACTAGTTCTTTTTTATTTTATTTATATTTTACATTTGAGCCACCTCCTTAAACTTTTTATTAGTATGCTTCACCTAACAAACTAAAAAAGGTATCTTACCTCAGTGAATGTTTAATTATCATCAAAGATTGGATGTTTAACTTCATTAAACTTTGAATGTGGCAAAAATGTCAATAGGCTAAGGAAGCCAGTCCCTTCAATTGCAAAAAAAACATATAGTTAAGCTTTTCCCAGCTTCCCTTCAGCTGGTCCAAAATAGATTAATCTGGCTGCTAAAAAAAAAAAAAAAGAAAGCCTGGTTGTTGCATTTCGGTCCATTAACTTTCAAATCAGGACCAGGAGTTTAACCCCTATTCCTATTTCCTTTTAATGACTAAATGACTGACAATTAACAAAATTTTTTTTTACCTCTAATTCAGGTCAAGAAGTCTTCATTAAAGGGTTTCCAACAGCTTCCAACAAGTGTGCAATCAGTTTAGCAGAAAAAAAATGTCAGTTTCAAATGTTGAAAAACATAATTTGCTCATTTGTTATGTAGATCAACTACTCAGCACAGCTAAGAGGGGGAAAATGGATGTACAAACTTCACAAAAATCTTGCTGTGTTCTTTTTATGTGTGATTGTGAGTATGTTGGGGTTGCTGTGGCTCAGGATGTAGAGCAGATCACCTACTAGTTGGAAAGATGGTGGTTTGACCCCTGTCTGCTCCAGTCTGCATGCCAAACATCCTTGGACAAGATAGAAATCACTTACATATGAAAAGCATTTTTAAAAAAGTGCTTATATGAAAGGATGAATGAGGCAAGTTGTATAAAAAAGTGCATTAAGCTCTATGAGTAGAAACGTGCTAAAGAACCAGTCAATTTGTGTTTGTGTGTTTCAAGGTAACTGTATTTATACCCATAGGCAAGGTAAATTTGCTTTACAGAAAAATGATAGCATTTGGCATCCCTTCAAAAACACACATACCTAAAAGAAAAATATAAACCTCACTGTAGAACATATATAGTAATTTAAACGTTTTGAATCAAAAACAAAAGCAGTTCTTATTTAATTCAGTGACAGCAACAGGGACAAAGCTGTTTTTATAACTCTTTGTCCTGCAGCTTGGAAAAAGAAACCTCCGTCCTGTGGAAAGAAGCTGAAATTCACCCCTTAGAGGATGGGGACCATATTTAAGGATTGTTAAAGCCATCCTCTGTACCTGTTTGGAGTACAGGGAGGCTAAAAAACACTGTGGCTCACAAGACATGGGTGGTTTGTCATGAAAGAAGCTACAGCAACGGCTCTGCTGGGTCTCAGTTACACTTTTTTTTAATTTTTTATCTTTAAAATGTAAAAAAAATGTTTCAGTGTTTGCTACAGGCAGTACTGTTCACTGACTTTGTAACAGCAAAAGTTGGCAGTTGCTGCTGTTTTGACTGTTGATGGTGATTACTCTCTAAGGATGGATGTGGTAGGCACACAGTTGGTGATTACATTTGCCCTCCCCCCTTTCCAGTATGTGGCAGTGACATTAGCAGAACAGGAAGCCTCTCCAGACAGCACATAGAGCATGACAGGGCTCATTGATCTCTCACAGCTATGATGATTGTATCTCTCTTCTTTCTCCTCATCCTCAAAGGTAAGTTTCACTATTTCTGTACAATGCATGCAGCTTATCATTTAATTCAATTAAGAAACACTGTTTTTGCTTTGACCAGTAAAATCTTTTTCAGTGTAAGACAATGGCTTATGTTAGCATCTAGTAGCTACCAGCTGACAACCGTTAATTAAATGCTTCAATTTACTAAATCTGTTGTGTTGTGAGCTTCATTCTTTAACACAATTTTAATTGGTTATTAGGAGGATCGGGACAACATAATGATGAGGTGGTAACATTTAGATACTCAGCTTTACCAAGAAAGTTTTATTCTTTTCTTTTTTTCTCCATAGAAACATTTATTTAGTTTGAATAGAAGCTCTCCTGCTTAATCTGCTTGATATGAAACTCATATATAAAACCTACTGTCCAAATAATCTTCCTACTTTTCTCAAACAATTATAAAACACAAAAAACATTGTGGAAAAAATTAAAACAAATTAAAAACAACCTGGCCATGGTTGAAGAACCCAGAAACTGAGAAGGAGATCACAAAACATGTTATTTCAGTCTTTATTATCACAAAAAGAAAACAGGAGAATCTGTGACTGGAGATGAGCTGGGACGGTGCAGGCTGGACAGAACACTTGGGTTGGTACAGAGGAACATTTAGAGTTAATCTTTGCAGTAATTGGAAACCAGAAGTGAGACTCAGGGAAGCCAAGCAAGGATTTATCGATGTTGCCAGGTCTCATATTGTTTGAAACCTAGCCCAAAGTATGTATTTTGTTACATTCTTGCATGTTTTCCCCCATTTGTACCTTCTTGTTTTTTTGTGAGCCCTTTTGTGTATATCCTTTGCACATTTAGGCATGTCGGGCCTATCCAGCATTTTTTACTTACCACCAGTTAGCTGACAGCTGAACTGTTCTCTTTACTTGAGTCTCCAGTACATCCAGCTGCACATCCGATGGTGCAATGTAAAACTAAACTTCAGTCTTTGTCTGACGGTTTTGGGTGCCAAGTGAGCTTTAGCAACAGCCTTATGGTAAAACAGTGATTAGTACAGAAGCTTTATAATAGAAATAGGAGATAATAGGAGAGAGGAAATGCTGAGTGGAATAGAGTCTAGCTCTTCTACGGCTGAGTTGTTTCAGAACCAAGCTATGAGCAGAGGTCAGATTAACTAACTTTTAAATAAATAAATGAATAAACAAAAGTCAGCTCACCACTGCTGAATATAAATAGATCCACATAACACCAAATTTCTACCATTCATCGTGTAACTGGTATGCCCACTGGAGGGCAGGCTCATGTTGCTATTCCAGTCTGGATCCAGCTCAGGCATGCAAAAAACACTGCGGGAACATTAAGAGGGTAAATCTTGAGGTGATTTTTTTTTTAACATTTAATAGCCCATACCTCTTGTGAAGATTATCTGTGGAAATTTAAAATAAATAGTGTTAAAAGATGACATAATATATACTGCAACACAGTAGTTGTTAAAAAAAAACAGGGGTACTATTTTCTTTCAGGTGGAAATACCTCCACTTTAGAGCTACAAGATGATGCTCAACTGATGCCCAATGAGACCATGACCAGAGGTAAGTAAAACTAACTTTGAGTTCACAGAAGTTATAGATGTGTGCATTTATATTTTTCTCTTGTAGGCTGATCACCCGCAGGAGGCACCATATAGGTCAGGTGCAATAAGTGTTCAGTGGCAGTGCAGGGCACTTGCTTGTTGTTAGTTCCTGGAACATGAAACATCAGCACTCTTGTGAGAAAGGAGCCTGACCTAACGAAAAGGTTGAGAGACGGTGACTAGATATAGTCAGGCTCACCTCAGTACACAACTTCGGCTCTGGGAGCAATCTGGAGCTGTCTAGTTTATGTTTCCAATGTGGAGTCGCCCTTGGTGAGAGGTATGTTTGTTTGCTGCCAGTATGTTGGGGTTTCCCCCAGGGGTTATGGAATAACCAAAGTTAGTCAGAGGACTAACCAAGAAGACTAACTTACTCTATGGACTAACCATAGTTGGTCCATAGACTAGTCCAATGTTTCCCAACCACTGTGCCGCGGTACAGAGGTGTGCCAAGAGAAATGATCAGGTTTGCTGTGGAAGATTATCTGGTTTCGCCTGATTGGTACGCTAAGCGACCGGCATGAGTAACGGGCAGAACAATTATATTATCTTCCTCTAGAGGGCAGTATAACGTCTTGCTCCAATTAAATGGGTTGCCAACTTACAGTAAAACGGAAAAAGACAAGGTAGAAATTACATAATAGTCATCCTGTGAGTGAGATGACAGCGCGTAATATCAATAGATAAATATTTGAAAAGAAAAAGTAGTCAGTCTGACCTGGGTCCTGGAGATAATTCCGACCCAGATGAAGGTCCTAGCATGGGTAGTGGTTTGAAGAAAGCAAAAAAGATATACTGGGGACAAGCCAAGACAATTCCACTATACCTGGTGCACGTGGAAAAATTATCAATATGCTTTTTGTAACATTTTTGTTTGGTGGGGTGCCGTGTGATTTTTTTCTAATGTGAAATATGTGCCATGGCTCCAAAAGTGTAGGAAACACTGGACTAGTCCATATTTACCTTATGGACTAACTAAACCATAGTTAGTCCATCTATGAATATGAGGTTACCCTATTAGGACTAACCTATCAGATCAACTTAGTCTATGGACTAAACATGTTTGAGCATAAGGGTGTTCCTAAGTTCACAGGTTGCTGATTGATTTAGTAATAATGTCATCAGTCCAGCAACCACATTTCTTGGACTTGGTTAGAGAGACAAGCTGAGCTGTCAAACAGTCACCACCTGGTGTTCAGTTGGATCAGGTGGGGAAGGATGCAGGAGACTCCAAACTTATTATGAGGGTCACAAGACTCCAAGACTCACAACACTTTGATCCCAATCCAACAGAGACATCGTCTGTGATTGTCCAATGTTCACAATTCCATTGCTGAAGCAGCTGTAAGAAGCTGCAGCTGTAAGATGGTACTAATAGCAGGCGGACGGGGGGCAGCTCTGACAGTAGCTGTGGGGGGAATATGGTGAGGCCATGAAACAAGACTTTTGTTCAGCCTCAACGCAATTTAATTATTATGCCAGGGTTTTGTTGTGTATAGTATGGAGTTCCTGATATTAATTTTAACATTAATAAGAAATAGATTATTAATGAACCCTTTCTGAATGTCTGTATAGATCTTTATATTTCAAATAATGGAATTAGAGAACTGATGAGACACATCCTGCAACCCAAGCCTTTTAGTGGCCACAAGAATCAGGATATCGGCTTTCATTTGTGAGTCAGTGCTTTTAATAGATTGATAAAAGGTTTCTGAAGCAGTCAATATCTACCCACAGAGATTACTGTGTTTGTCATGTTTAATACGACGTATGTTCAGCAGATCTGAAGAGAACATATATCAATTTTAAAGCCTGGATAATCACCAGGACACTGCAGTTCTTATTGAAAAGCATAATTGAGTGTGTTCAAGTTTCCTTTTTTTTTTTTTTATGCATTCCTCTCATTGCCTCACTAATACAAAATCTAATCTCATTTCAGATAAAAAAGTAGAAATTGATGAACTTTGCATTTTCCTGGCTGTTGCAAACCACCTGAACTTGACTAAAGACAATAATAAGTACACCATGAGCCGGCCAGTTAGACACCACACTCACCCTTTGACAGTAGTGCTTGAAATGAAAATCTATGCCATCTTAGATATGGTAAGTTGTACTTCTTTAGAGTTTTTTTTTAATGATTTTTTTTTTCTTTAATTAACGTATTAATTTGACAAATGACATTTATTAAAAATAAATGTCGTGTGTGTATTTTCCATGCAGCCATTTAACAGTTAAATGGGCAGCCGGAAAGCTTTGCATACATGTTGTATTGTATTTGGGACCACTGCGGTACAATTAAAAGAAAAGTATTTTCATAAGCAATAACTTATATTTGTATGTATATTGTATTTTATTAAGCTTGACTTGTGACTTCTTTGCTGACAGAGGGAAATTGACCAGACTTTAATTTCTTACATTTGGGTTTCTTTGGTCAGTATTCTCTTCTTTTAAAATACACAATATTTTACTGAAATGTGGAAATTCAAATTATTTATTTGAAAACGTGTCTATTTGCCCTCTTTCTGTATTTCTCCTCTTATATATCTGGTACATCTTCATGGGTAGAAATGGAAAAATGAGTACATTTGGTGGGACCCATATCAGTTCTGTGGACTGAAATACATAACTGTCCCTACCGGATATTTGTGGATACCAGACATAACAATTGAAGAGATGTAAGTGTAATATATTTGCACATGCACTCACACTGACAGATCCACATGCAGTAATGAGAGAACATTCATTTATTTTTAAAAATGTCAACAAAGCTAAAACATTATTGATTCACTTGTATAAAACATAAAATAATACACTACTGCTCCAAACTCAAAAAAGCCTATCCATTTATTCATTAAGGTGCATACTGAATCTAGAATATGGACAATACCAGATTGTATAAAAACTATTATTTGAAATATTTATTTGGTCCAAACTAATAGCTTGTGTCTTATGTAGATATGCTTAAGCCTGTTCTTTGGCCTACTTGCATGCTGTACGTGCAAACTGACAAAAATAACAACTTTTCAAAATGGTATATGTTACCCTGACACCTCTTTCGGCAATTCATTTAGCCTATAGTTTAAAGTGATTAACTCACAACTCCTTATCCAGATCTAAGTACCAGTCAGTGACACCCTGGCAACCAGAAAAAAAATTGTGTATTGTTCTATTGATCTAGTTTGTGTTTGTTGGGTTTTTTATTACATCTTTAGATTTGCCTCCTGGAGCTTTACATTGTAAACTGCATCTCACACCACAATGTTACTTGTTTTTCATGGTCTGTAAAATGGTAAACTACAAGTGATCTCATTTGTCCCATATTTGCTTTCTTACAGGACAGAGAAGGACAAAGCTACTCCGAGTCCCTATCTCAGCATTAGCTCAGCTGGCTGGGTTGAATTCAGAAATGACCAGGTTGTGCTAAGCACCTGCAAAATGCATGTTTACAAATTTCCCTTTGATATTCAGAGCTGCAACCTTTCGTTCAAGTCTATCCTGCACACTGGTGAGTCCATAACATGTTTTGTTTAGGTGAACTCACACCATCAGATATCATATAGGTACAATATACATTATATACAACATATTTCTTCATGTTTGAGTTGGTCACAGTTATTTTTATATTCATTTCAGATGAAGATATACAGTTACACTACCAGGAAAACAACACTTTGATCACACGGTTGTCTCGGGAAGTGATGCACACACAGTACGAGTGGCTGTTCATCAACATGATAGTCACCAACAAAACCAACCGCTTGAACTTCAACCAAACTTCTGTTGTTTATACTGTAAGTATTTTTTCAAGCAGAGACACATCAATGGAAACTGTCCCGTTTGCCTATGTTACAGGCCTTCAACTGGGTCTGTTTTACACAGAAGAATTAGCTCAAATACATCTCATAGTTCCAACTAAAGACCAGTGCATTTGGTATGTAGGCTCTTCTTCATCTGTTTAAGAATTTTACACCATCCTTTTCTGTTTATTTACACATTCTTCTATATTTTCTTGATAGATTTGTCTTGTAGCAAAAACCACAGGTTCACATCTTAACCCTACTTGCTGACCTTATTTTTGTATGCATCAATATACAATTATAATCACCTTATATCTATCACGATTTGTGAGGGCAGATCATGTGGAGAGAATGAGGTGTGGACCAAAGCGCAGACAAGCAGAGATGGAGGTGGATTTTTTTTTTAAAGCAAGTCTTTATTGTCGGCTGCACAAAACACTGCAAAACAAAAGGCCACGGGGAGCTGAGATAAACTAAGAAAAACCTAAACTGGAAAAGCTAAATATGAAACTTCAAACACAAAACCTGAAATATAGAACTAGAAAAACCTGAAACGTGGAAACACGGAGGGAAGAATAGCAGACAAAATGCAGAGGAAATGCAGAGGGAGATACACAGAGGAGGAGGAACAAAAGACAACATAGACCATGTATACACACAGAGGGTAATGAGGAAATAGGAAAGAGGAAATACACGAACATAGAAACAAGGATGACTAGAAGTAACGCAGAGGACACAAGGAAGGCACAGAAACAAAAGCTAAAGACTAGAAATCAGCGAAACACTAAAGGATGTTCCCAGGACAGCTGAGAGATCTCTTCAGCATGTCATGAGGCTCCGCCTGGACCCCTCCAAGTAGGCTCTACCCAACAAACCTCACCTAGGAGGCATCAATCAAACACCCTGTTCGGATTCCCAAATCACCCCAACTTGCTCCATTGAGGAGCAAGTTGTTAGTCAGTCTGTTAGTCTGTCTGTAAGGCTGAGCCTAGTAACCCTTCATATGAAGCTCATTTCCCCACACGTACCCAAAATCTTCTTATATCAGTCACCAGAGCTAGTTAACGTAAACGAAGATAAGAACAAGGACCAACAAGTAAATCAACAGCTTCCCCACAAGAAACTTTAAGATGTGGTTGAATGTAGTTTTCAAGTCCACAAAATATAGACTATCCAGTACAAATGGAGGTGTTTCTTTGTCATGAATAACTGATTAATTATCCCTAGATAAATATGGAAAAACTGCTTTTTTGATGTAATTGAATAATTCGGTTCAGATTGAAAAAAACCTGCTTCTCAGTAGTTATTTTAAACATTTAGACACTATAGTATATCGTTTAATATGCACAATTTTGTTAAATTTCCCCTTCTGGTAATCTTAACATTCACTACTCTTAGTCTGGTCATGGTAAAACCTTAATCCACAAAGAGCTAGTTTATACAGGGTAAACATGTTACAGTCAAAAATATAAGAGGATAACCAATATATCTGATTAACCAATTGAACATAATTTCACAGATTACCATGAAGAGGAGGTCTATCCTGTACATTGTGAATTTCATTCTGCCAGTCCTCTTCTTCTTGTGTCTGGACTTGGCATCATTCCTCATCTCAGATACTGGGGGTGAGAAGCTCAGCTTCAAAGTCACCGTCCTGCTGGCTGTTACAGTGATGCAGCTTATCCTCAATGACATTCTGCCCTGTTCTTCAAACAAGGTTCCACTTATAGGTAAAGAAATGTATTTAACTGCACATAGTTACAGCAGTTGTATATTCATGCCACAGTTAATTATAAGGATTTGCATATCAGAAGATCATCTGGTCCTGACCAGTTAGTAAAATTAAGTTAATAGAACCCCAGATGAACAGCAACACATGACATATTTCACTGTCATTATTTATCTGCTCAACTAGGAAACTAAGCCAGTAGCTTGTAGTCCCCCCTTTAGCAGCCAGAACTTAAAGTAATCGTTTTCTCTCTGACTTTATCAGTCTCTCACATCATTTTGGTGGAATTCTGGCTGATTTACTTACATCATTGCTTTAGTTCATTAATTTATGCATAGTTCTCCTAAGGTCTTGCCACAGCATTTCAATCAGGTTGAGGTTTTTGACTGGAACATTGTAGCACTGATTCTTTTTCACCCATTCTGTTGTAGAAATGCTTGGGATCATTGTCCTGTTATCATTCAGTTTCAGACAAGATCAAACTGTCAAACAGATAATCTCATATTTGACTCTATAATACTTTGGTATACAGAGGAATTCATGGTGGACTCAAGGACTACAAGGTGCCTTGGTCCTGTGGCTGCAAAACAAGCCTGAATCATCATTCCTCAACTGTGTTTGACAGTTGACACTAACATGCTCTGTTTGTTCATTTTCCAAATGTAGTGCTGTGCATTATGTTTAGTATCTCCACTATGATTATACTGGCCCAAGGACGGTGTTCCAGAAGTCTTGCGGTTTCTTTAGATGCAACAGGCTTTCGCTTGGCAACCATTCTAAGCTTGTTTGGTCTTTTTCTGACTGTACTCCCATGAACTCATGCTAACTGAGGCCTGTGACTGAGTCTGAGATGTAATTCTTGGGTGTTTTGGCAGTTTCTCTGAGCGCTACATTGTCTGACCTCGAGATGAATTGGGACATCCACTCCTGGCAACACTGGCAATTATCTTAAATGTTTCCAATTGTAACTAACATTTCTTACTTTAGAAAGTTGGACTTTAAAAAGTTTTTTCCCAGACTGATGGGCAGCAGCAATTGCTTCTTGTCTGTATTTACCCTCAATCAGTCGTGGCAGATGATTGCCCCTCCCTGGTTTCCTCCTGTTACAAAATACATTTTTCCTTCCCACTGTCACCAAGTGCTTGCTCATACGGGGTTATCTGATTGTTCGGGTGTCCTCTGTAATATTGTAGGGTATTTACCTTACTTTGCAACGTAGTGCAACATGTCATGCATTATTGTTCATCTGAACCATTTACCTAATTTTAGCACCTGGTAAGAACCACATTACATTTTATTACCCTCTGTATGTAAAACCTTAGAAGAAACCATGTACTTTCTTTTTACAATGACTGTATATCCACATTAATGACACAGCCTGCTCTCCTCAGCTGTCTACTGCATTGGGATATTTGCTCTGATGCTGCTCAGCCTCCTGGAGACAATTTTGGTGATGCATCTGATTGAGAAAGACTCTGCAGCTCAAGATAACGAGACTAGTAGAGACCAAAGCACAGATGTGAACTGTGGTGACAAATCCAATCCACACAGAAACCTTGAAATTTCAGGTATATTTTGGATGTATAGTTATGGTTTATATACTCAAAGACACATTAATAATGGTTCATTGTACAACTAATTATTTATATAAATTTAAATTGTGTTGCCTTTATCTTTATGCCTAATATGTTTTTTCCAGATAGTCACTGTGCATCTGTCTGTGATGCACCTGCTGAAGAAATGCAATCGGTGATCAAAGAGGTGAGGATTATATTACACTTTTTTTTTTTTTTTTTTCCTGATATTTTTATTAAAGTTTTTGCATCGACTTTTACAAAAGACAAATTGAACAATATGCCGTTTTCTTTTTAAAGAACATAAAGCAATATAAGACATACACTCCCACCTCATAATTATAGCAGTACCAGTGGGTGTACAAACAGAAAAAGGAAAAAATCCAATCTAATAATACTAGTAACAAACCCTAGGGTACAAGACAACAGTTCCTGAGTGTACAAGGGAGATGTGGAGAGTATCCAAACCCCCACCTCCACACAGACACATAAAAACCAAAACACACAAACAAAAAAGAAAAAAAAAAAAAAAAAAAAAAAAAACCCCACACATAATAAATGGTCAACTTAGTTATAGGGATAAATCAATTCTGTTAGAGAAAAGAAATATGTATAAAGTAGTTAAATAAATACCATCATAGAACGCAGGCACAATAGAATCCATATACTTAAACTTAGGCCTCTTACTTGAACATAAGATAAGAAAAAATAAAATACGATAGAGTCTGAGCTGGCTAATTGGGAGCATTGCGAGACCGCAAAGTCTGAACATGATCAAAAAAGGGTTGCCAGGTCTTAAAAAATTTGGCCGTAGACCCGCGCAGGGTGAATTTAATCTTTTCGAGTTTGCTAAAATGCAGAACGTCTCTGATCCAGATTTCCCAGGATGGGGCAGAAGGGGACTTCCAACATAGCAATATTCTGCGTCTTGCCAATAAGGTGAGAAATGCGACCAGATCCGCTTGAGGCGTCGGCAAGGCAACTGAATCAGGAAGAACCCCAAACAAAGCAGTTAAGGGCACAGGTTGGAGGGTTAGCTGAATGATCTTAGATAAAATCAAGAAAATATTAATCCAGTATTGTTTGAGGGATGAACATGACCAAAACATATGCATTAAAGAGGCAGGTGTTTGATGACAACGGTCGCAGTCAGGGCTAAGATTGGGATATATTTGAGCTAGTCTGGCCTTAGTCCAATGTACACGGTGCAGAATCTTACATTGAATCAGCCCATGTTTGGCACAGAATGAGGAGCCATGGACCCGGTAAAGAATTTTATCCCAAGAGTCATCCTGGATCACACACCCCAGATCCTGCTCCCATGCCAATTTAATAGCCGAGATTGAAGAGTTGCCAAAGGAACATATTCTCCCATACAAACAGGAGATCAGGCCCTGTAATGAGGGCGGAGGCAATAGAAGGTTATCAAAGTCATGATAAGAAGGTCTAGATGGGAACTGAAAGGATTTCTCCTTAACAAAACTCCGGATTTGTAAATAGCGAAAAAAGTGACTTTTTGGAAGGCCAAATTTCAATGAGAGCTGTTCAAAGGAGGCAAATGTATTCTGAATGTACAGATCAGAAAAAGACCTGATACCCAAAGAGGCCCACAAATAAAAAGCACCATCAGCTAACGAAGGCTGAAAAGAGGGATTTTTCAAGATGGGTGATTGAAGGGGAAAAAAGGTCAACTTAAAATAACGACGAAATTGATACCATATTTTCAAGGTAACTTTGACAATAGAGTTATTATAAGAGCCTGTACTCGAAGGCTGCTTTTGGGCATAAATCAGGGCTGGTAAAGAGGCTGAGACACAGGAAGAAGTCTCCAAACTGAGCCAGGCCGGGGCATTATTCGTGTCTTCCCCCTGTAGCCAATACCTGAGAATACGAATATTACATGCCCAATAATAGAACATAAAGTTTGGTAAAGCCATCCCCCCATCTTTTTCGGTCTTTGAAGATATGTCTTGCGTATTCTGGGTGTTTTTTTGTTCCAGATAAACCCAGACAGAATCTTGTCTAATTTAACAAAAAAGGAAATTGGAATAAATACAGGGACACACTGAAAAAGAAAAGAAAATCTGGGGAGGATATTCATTTTAATTGTATTTATGCGCCCTGCTACAGACAGATGGAGTAGAGACCATCTGTCCAAATCCTGCCTAACTTTCTCCACAAGTGGGTCGAAATTAAGCTTGAAAAGAGCATGAAAATGACTTGTAATTTTAACCCCTAAATATGTGAAGTTGTCTGATACAGCTCGAAAAGGTAGTGCTGTGCACTGATATTTCTGTGCAGCAGCATTCAGGGGAAACAGTTCACTCTTGGCAAGATTCAGTTTATAGCCAGAAATAAGGCTAAACTGTTCAAATATTGAAAGTACCAAAGGGAATGAGGATGCTGGCTCTGAGATATACAGAAGCAAGTCATCTGCATATAAGGAGACTCTTTGTTCTATACCATTTCTAGAAACCCCGGTGATACCTGGGTTTGATCTTAGCGATATGGCTAAGGGCTCAATTACAATTGCAAATAGCAACGGCGACATAGGACAGCCCTGCCTGGTCCCCCTAAACAGAGGAAAGAAGTCAGAGCATGTGCCATTTGTTTTGACAGCGGCAAGCGGGGAGGTATAAAGAAGTTTCAACCAGGAGATGAATATTTTACCAAAGCCGAATTTATCTAAGACATAAAAGAGGTATCCCCACTCTACCCTGTCAAAAGCCTTCTCAGCATCTAGACTGATCCCAAACTCCGGGCTGTTGGAGTCTGAGGGATTGTAAAGAACATTAAACAAACGTCTAAGGTTAGAGAAGGCGTATCTCCCTTTAATAAAGCCTGTTTGGTCCGGGTTGATTACAGATGGTAAGACTGCTTCTACACGCATCGCTAGAAGTTTAGCAAGGATTTTATAATCCACATTTAACAAAGAAATGGGACGGTATGAGCCACATTGTAGTGGATCCTTATCCTTTTTTAAGATCAGGGATATAGATGCCTGCAGTAGAGAGGGTGGAAGGGATCCAACTTCCAGTGAGTGCTTATACATATTTATCATGAGCGGAGCCAGTTTAGGCATAAATTTACGATAGAACTCAACCGGAAACCCGTCCTGTCCGGGGCACTTAGAACACTGCAGTTTGCTGATAGCCTGCATGATCTCTTCTACAGTTACTGGTCCCTCCAGCTGGAGGCTGTGTGTCTGATCGATTGATGGGAGCTTAAGATGATTGAAAAATGAGTCCAAAGCCTCCGTACTAAATGCACACTCAGACGCATAGAGAGATGAATAAAAGTCTCGAAATTGGTCATTAATTATTCTAGGATCCGTAGAGACACCACTTAATGTCTGAATCCGAGGAATGGAGTGTGCAGCTGCTGCACTACGGAGCTGATGAGAAAGCAGTTTACTGGCCTTATTACACTTTTAAAGGATTTTTAAATTATTATTTTTTTTAAGTGTAAAAAAATCTTAACAGACATTGTGTTTGCATGGAAGAGATTATTCTTAACATTTTTGTATATCTGGAATGATCTCTTTTGTTCCAAATGGAGTGGGAAAAAAACATCTGCAAATATGCACTGCTAATGTTAATTATCTTTCTCCAAAACCGCTTTCAGGGGAGCAGAAGTAAACTGACGGACGTGTCCTTTGCTGTGGAAAAAGTTTCAGATGAACCAGGGGCAACTGAGAAACCAATGAATCGACTCAGCAGTAACAGGAAGGAAGAAATGAAGTCAGGCTATTGGACCAGAGTGGTTAAAATCATTAACAGGGCTTTCTTGATTTTTTATGTCTCAGCAGTCACTCTGTTTTTAGGGGTTATGTTTATAATGTGGAACAGTTCTGAAGATGATGATGGGTAGAAGAAAAACCCTCTCAATAAATAAATTGCTAGTTTAAAAACAAAGTTAAACATTTTGAAATCATTATGCACCGTCTGTTTTCACACCTGTAGTTTCCATGTATTCAAACCAAAGAAGACAGAACAGTCATTGATGCAATGTAGGCTGGTGAGAGTTCATACTGGCATGTTACAAAGTAATCCAAAGATGTAAACGTGGAGTCTGATCCACACTGATAATGTAGTTATGTTTAGTTATCTATTATGCATCATCAAATTTAAAATGACCCACTGTAGAAAATACTGACTTTTAAAGCATTATTACAAAACAAGTCTGTTTAAGCTTCTAAAGTTCAAACTGGTCGCAACTTTGTTATATTTATTAATTGCTTTTTACAGTTAAAGTTAAAATGTACCAACTAGATTAATATGATATATTATTTTAAAATATTTATTTTTAAACTGTAAGTTGTTGTTTTTTTTTAACATGTTGTACCGAAAGCTGATATGTACACATTGGGTCGAACCCAGTCTGACCTCAATGATTATTTTGGTCATTGGAATTTTGACTGGTACTCCTCTATATTGTACTTTCATTTTCTTTGAATTCATTTAAAATGTGTATTTATTTTGATGAGAATTTTAGTAAAGTGACATCTGTTGCTGTAAGTCTGGAAATCATTTGATGGGCTGTTAGTTTGTGTATGTGTATGTGTATGTGTATTTTTATGTGATAATGGCTTTTCTTGCTGGGTTAAGGTTAATTATATGATTGGAAAAATGATTTAGCCAAATATTGAAAATGAGAATTTAGCCATATACAGTACTTCTTGTGGATGAGATTGCCTTGGCTTCAAAGTTACACTGTGAGAAAACCTGGAGTCATTTTTGCCCAGGACATCCTTTAAAGTTTTGCTTTCTAACTAACTGTTTTCTTTCATCTCTGCCATATCAATAAAATTAGAAACATTCAATCTCAGAATGATACTAGTTCAACCTAGTTCATCCATGAATCACTTCTAGACCACACTGTCATAATTCTGTATTATTTGAATATTCTAGAAACTCCCTGAAAAGCCTTGGATTTTCAATCAGTTTCTTTTTCTTGCTGTAGCAAGTGTACTAACATGGACTAGAAAAGAGAGATCATATTTCCCTCTATTTCTGTTTACTCGGTTAGGTTAAGGTTAAATCCAGAAATGACACACTCTCCATTGTTATCAAAAGGATAAAACTTTCAGTTTTCAACCAGACTATTTCTGGTTACATAACATATATCTTCTGATGTAACTTGGACAGAGTCATCAAGACATCAGACACCCTCAGCCAGCCTGTGATGATGAGGCCCCTGGCTTGTGTCCAATTCATCTTCCAGGCTTCCAGACCTTGGAAAGCTTCCAAACCCTGCTCATCCTGATGCCACTTTTCCCATAAACTTGCTTGTGCTGCAACCACAATTCAACCTGGTTGACTGCCCCATGTCTTCCACTTTTAGCTGGTTCTGACCTCAATGCCTGCTGCAGAGACTTTGTTGTTGCTGGAGTCCCTGTATAGCATCACTTGCTTGGCAGGGTGACCGTGAATTCTTCCAAAACACAAGGTGAAGGGAAGTTTTCAGCTTGTTCTTGCTGCGATAAAGTTCAATGCTGCTGAGACAATCTGTGCAGGTAGTGCCTAATCCTCCTCTCAAATCCTTAACATGGGTCAGTGGAAACTCATAGACCTGCAGTGGCCAGAGGAGCTGAGTTGTATTTAGGTCTGGATTAGGTGACCCTGAAACACCTTTAGTTATTCTGGTTTTTAGTTTTCACTGCTTTTCACTTTCCATGTCTTTATATGTCACTGCAATAAATCATCTCTACTCTCTCCATAGTATGTACTTTGTCTTTCTCTCCGTGCTAAAGCCACTGCTGAATTTGCACACATGGACTATGACAATAATTATTATTACAGTGGTGTTACATTCAGTGGTGAACTGAAGGGCTGCCCCAAGACCGAGTATACGATAAGTAAAGATTATTTTAAAATGTAAATCATGTAACTGACACTTTTCAGTCCTAGAAAAAAATTATTAAGACTATTTAAAAGGGTACACCAAAGAGTGTCAAGAAAGCAGGATTACTGAGCATGCATCAATTTATAGTAGTAAACAAACAAAGTGACTGTAAAGAGTGATTGACCAGTTGTATGGAGATGAGATTGTAGCCAAGCATTTTACTTCTCCTTCTTTCTTTTCCATCCACCTTTATTGCAGACAGAGGAGAAGCTTTAACTATTATGTTGGACTGTTAAAAGTGGAAGTCCACCTTTAAATTTATTACTTTGTGTTTTCCAGTTATGACCTTTAAGACCACGCTGGTGCAGGGCACTCTAACTACAACAAGGTAATTGGGAATAGATGCAAACAATGATAAACAAATATCAAGTGGAGGGAAATGAATTCGCTTTTTTATCTTTTTGAGTTTGCCCCCTTCAAATCTTCCTCTGCTGGAAGATGAAGCTAAAGTTTCTAAAAAAGTCCTTCACCACATCTAACTTTTAGCAAAGCTGATGAGGAAGTGGATGGCTGCCCACATGCATTGAAGAGATTGTATGTAAGTGTGAAATGTAGTCCACACGTCTTAAGTGGAATTTATACAGCACCAGTACAAAACAATGATTATCACATTTTATTAATTTCTACTAATAAATATTGATTTTGCTTTGATTTTGCTCTGTTTATTTACTTTCACATTCAGGCAGTTTTTTTTTTCACTGACTTTGTAACAGCACCATTGGTCTTACTGGTTGCCAATATGCTGCAGCCATTATGCTCTTACAATTGATGTGGACATGGATGTGCAGTAAGTCTTTACATTTGCCCCGCCCTCTTCCAGTGAGGACAGTGAGATTAGTGCAGCATGTGCAGACAACATAGAGAGGTTAACACACTCACAGCCATGAGAATTGTGGGTTTCTTTTTTCTACTCCTCCTCAAAGGTAAGCTGAGACGTTATTGTGTACTGCATGTGTGTTAAATTTATAGAAAGACTGTTTGTTTTTACTTATTATAAATATTTTAGTCTAGGATAGATGCTTGCTTCTCTAAGCATCTTGTAGGCATCTCTGTGATGTATCCAGTTGGAATAATTTACTGACAATATTTACACAAAGGCCTATGATTAACCTTCATGCCAAGTTTTGGTTGCTAAATTCCTGCTCAAACAAACTATTACTTTTAAAAGAATATTATATATAAGATTTGCCAAGTGGGTAAATGGTATAAACTGAGCAATTAGCTGATCTGGGCTGGCAGTAAAAGAGGCAGCCCAGATCAGTCACGAGTGCAGCTTTTCTTTGTGGCTTGCATAAACTGACAATATGGTTGATATTTGTAACTATTGTCATCTTACTGTCCTTCCTGGATGATAAAATACGCAAAGTAGGAAATTTTGCTTTTCATTTTTGTATTAAAAAACTCATTTCTTTCAGGTGGAAATGCCTCCAGTTTAGAGAGACAAGATTATGGTACAGAACAAACACTTCAAAACTTTTTTGCTCTGTGTTTGCCCTGTGATGAGCTCGCAACCTCTCCAAGCTGTGCCCTATACCCTGCCAGCCCCATAGTGACAATGAATTGTACAAGTGGATAAGAACATAGTTAGATGTTATTAACAGATGATGAAATATGAATAATCTAATAGATGTGTATTGTTTGTTTATATGTTTGTTTTTTGCCAGATGGAAATGCTTCCAGTCCTGAGCTACAAGAAATTGGAATGCCATGTAAGAATCTAATTATATAAATATTGTGTAATCATTAAACTTTCCCATTTCTTTAGCCAGGCAGTGTTTTTGTTGTGGATAATTTTCCTGACTAAATAAAGAAAAAATAGTAGGTACACATGTACTTGTGAGCATTTTAAATGGATTTGATGCCATAAAATATAGCTGCTCGTCCCAAGGTAAATATACTAACAGATAAATACATTAAACCAACACTTACCAAATACCATATACTGAAAAATGTGGAAAATAACATCCCATATGTTCTTCTTTCAGTTAATTACTCGGCAGAGATAAAGAATCCTGAAGATATTCTGATCTTTGAACGAATGCGAAGTATGAAACAAAACCTGCAAAACTTCTTCTTTTTCTTTTTCTTCTTCTTGTCTTTCTTCTCAATCTGTCTAATATTGTAGACTGTGAGTATACGTGGAGACTGAACCAGGTTATTGTTTTAATTCTGGGTTGAGTGTTTATGCCTGTATTGAGTCAACAACAACTTGCTGAAACTTATGCGTTTAGAAAACTTATTTTTAAATGAAGACTGTTTTTAAATTTAATTGTCTGCTCAGATCTTCACATTTACAATAATTTCATTAGAGAATTGATTACATATACATGCTCAATTCAGGCCTTTTTGTGACCACAAGCCCCTAGATCCTGGGTTACATTTGTGATCCCATGCTTTTCATGGCTTGTTAAAAGGTTCCTGAAGCAGTCTATACGTACCCACAGAAGTGTTGTTCTGTTGTTCATTGACACCATTAGCTCATAAGCATTAACATGGATAAACATGAAGTTTGAAGTCTCGATAACCACCAGATCACTGAAGTGCTTTTTGAAAGCAAATTTAATTAGCATGGAAGAGTGGAAGGTGGAATTTGTTTTTTCTTTTTCTTGCAGGAATTTACTCTCTAATGCATTATATGTGTATTCATTTCAGATAGACAAATGGACACAGATGAAAGTTGCAGTTCTCAGGCTGTTGTAAACTACCTGAACCTAACCCAAGACAGTCACAAATACACTCTGAGCCGGCCTGTTAAATGCCACAATCATCTTACATGGATATTTGTTGAAATGAAAATTTTTGCCATCCTAGATGTGGTAAGTTATTTTTACTGTTTTGTTTATTTTTAATGACTGCTCTTGTTTTTAATGTTATTCCCTCTGTAGCTGATTAAAAGGATCATAGCAAACCATCTTTTTCAGCTACATTCACGGAGCTGGAAATTTTTTAAATACTGCATTTCAGTCTGGACAATTTAAGTCAATTAATTACTGTCATTTCCATCTGTATGTGACCGACCCCCCCTCTCTGACTACATGGAAAGTTGTTGATTAAGTCAGAAAAGACATGGAACGGGGGGTTGTGGTGGACTCTGGTTGCACAGTGGTTTGCGGATGAGTGTCTTTTGTCCTGTCTTCCTTCCCTCACCCCCAATCAGTCGTGGCAGTTAGCTACAGCTATATAAATAAAATTGAACTGAATTAACCGTATGCCATTAGCCATCAGATGGTGTGAGATGGCACTGAGAAAAGCTCAGCTTCTCCCTGAAGTAACACTGCTCAATTTCTTTGCTCACAGAGAGAAACTGATCAGACCTTCATTTCTTACATTTGGGTTTATTTGGTGAGCCTATTCTTAAAAATACATAATTTCTCACTCTATTGGTGAAATTAAAAGTATTATTTTTAAAATGACATTTTCATCTTTTCCTCGCTTTTTTTCCCCTCTACTTGTACCTCGTCTCTCTTTTTCTCATTCCTCTGTGCAGAGATGGGACAATGAGCACATTTGGTGGGATCCAAATGAGTTCTGTGGACTTGATCATATATTAGTTCCAACCAAGCTTTTGTGGATGCCGGATCTAACTATTGAAGAAATGTAAGTTTAATAAACA